AGTTCTTCCTGTGTGATTTCAGATTCTAAGGAGTTTAATAGTTCTTCACTTAATTTTGGTAATCCTGCATTTCTTAAATAATCCCTTCTTTTTTCAATATTTATCATTTTATCTTTATTTATATCATCCTTGGGGGCAATATTATATAATTTACTGTAGTAATCTTTAAATACCTTTGCAATGTCTTTGGTTGAATGGACTAACTCTCCCTTGGAGTTTTTTATTTTATCTATATAGTTCCTATTCTTCTTTCTCCTCAGGGCTCTCATCAGATATTTTCCTGATCTATCTTCCCATCTATATCTTTCACCAATGATCTTATTAAAAGTTCTCATTTTTTCTTCCTCCATTACCTTCTCTAATTCTTCCCTCTTTTTTATCACTCTTTGCTCTATCTCTTTCCTTATGTTATTTTTATGTAGGAGTTCCATCTCAGCTATTTCCTTCAAAAGCCCACTGATCTTCTCTCGTCTTTCCCTTGTTTTCTTCGCCCCAATCGCAATAAGGATTCCTCTTACATATGCTTTATGTGCCTCCCACACTGTAGCTAGTGATACATCCCCTGTTTCATTTTCCTCAAAGAACCTCTCTATTTCCTCCCTGATCTTCCGGTCAGTATCTGGATCCATGAGGAGTGTCTCATTCAACCTCCATGATAGGCCTCCTGACACCTTCCCTCCCCATCTTAATTCCAATACTACAGGTGCATGGTCCGAGAAAGTCATTGCTTCTATTTTTACTTTAACCAGATCCTCAACAAGTCGATGGTCCACCAAAATATAATCCAATCTAGAGTATGTCTTATGTACACTAGAGAAAAAGGTGTAATCTCTATCTCTCATATTAACAATTCTCCAGCTATCCACCAATTGGCACTCTTTCATCACCGTTTTCAATAATCCCATGGACCTATTTTCCCCTCTCTGTACTCTAGATGTTGTATCTATTTGTGGATCCATACATATGTTAAAGTCTCCCGCCACTATTAGATATCCCTTTCCAAAGTCCATCAATCTTCTCATAACCCCTTTCAAAAACATCTCTGGCTTCTTATTAGGGCAATATATGTTTACAAGCGTACATTCTATGTCCTGTAGTTTACCTTTCAAGAACAGAAACCTCCCCTCCGGGTCCATCTTTCTATCTTCCAGTTCAAATCTAATATTTTTTGCAAATCCTATAGCACACCTTTAGCTCTCTTAACTGGGGAATCTGCGTAATACCATGTCGGGTGTTGTCTAGAGTTTAACTTGATATTTTTTTTTAACTCTAGATGTGTTTCCTGCAAAAAAACAACTGAGGCCTCTCTATGTTGTAGTTCTCTATATAGTCTAAATCTTTTACCTGGGCAATTTAATCCATTTACATTATGGGTTACAAAGCGTATTTCCTCTATATTTTATTTGTCTTCTTCCTATTTTTACCCTTTCCTTTCCTCTTCCCCTTCCCCATACCTCTCCTTTCATACAAGATGTCAGTTTTAAAAACCTCTATCCCCACTCCCACCCCAATTCTCTCCCTCCCCTCCACCCCCCCCCCCTCCATCCCCTCCTCCCCTCACTCCCCCCCCCAGGCCTCCTCTGCCTTTGGATCATGATCCTCCACTGATCCCTCCCTAGGGGTTCGGCTCCACCCATGACCGCTCACCTTCCCCCCCTCCTCCCCGGTGTCTCCTTATCTATTAACTCTCTGTTTCCTCTTCTGACCAGCTGCCACTTTCCTTCCCCAAAAGTACATAACTCTCCCTCCTCCACTTCCCAACCCGGTATCACTATTCTCTGCAGACCAAGTTTATCACAAAAGTCTTCCATATCTTCTGGGAATCTTAATATTGCTGTGATTCCATCTCTCCAACCGATTAAACTCACTGCACGACCCCATCTATATTTCACATTATGCTTTTTCATCAATTCTAATAGGGGTTTCAGTGATCTCTTTCTTCTCAGAGTCTCTGCTGTTAGATCTGCAAAAATTTGAATATCTTTTCCACCATATGCAATACTTGTTCTTCCTTTGATCTTTTTCCATATCTCTTCTTTATCTACAAAATCATGGAATTTAACAATTATATCTCTTGGTTTTTCTAATCTTTTTTCTTGTTGATATTTTCCTATCCTATAGACTCCATCCAATTTAAACGTCTCCACGTCTGGTTTCTCCATTATGGAACTCAAAATTTTGTCGATTAGTTCTTTTAAATCTTCCCCCTTTGCCAACTCTGGGACTCCTCTTACTCTAAGATTATTTCTCCTTTCTCTGTTTTCTTGTTCTTCCATCATAAAAAGCAATCTTTTCTGTTCTTTTCTATCTTCTTTTATCCATTTCTGTAATTTTGGGACAACTTGGGAATGAATTTGAACCTTTTCCTCTATTTCCTCCACCCTAGTTAACATTTGCCGCAATTCCTCCCGAATTGTCCCCATCTATACCATGGCCTGGTATTAATTCTATTTATTTATTTATTTATTGCTCCCATACTGCAATCTGAATAGTTTGCCCCAGGTTTATATGTCGTCATTATTTATTTATTTATTTATATTATTGTTCTATTCCCTGGGGTCTGTGGCATTCACTTCCGCTTGTTTCTTAGTGACGGAGGAGGAGGTACCTCCCATCCGTCTAGATCAGCGGTTCTCAACCTGTGGGTCGCGACCCCTTTGGGGGTCGAACAACCCTTTCACAGGGGTCTCCTAAGACCATCGGAAAACACATCTTTCCAATGGTCTTAGGAACTGAGACACTGGTCCTCTATCAGTCTCCAGGCGGGTCCGCCCACATGCAGATACGTCCACATTTCCTGGACGCGATGTGTGCGCGGGATGACATGCCGCCCCTGTCATCTGGCCACATCCCCGGGATCACTCAACAGCTCCGCCTCCTCGCCAGTGATTGGCCACCGGAACTGTAGCTCAAGAGAGGCACACAGGCGGCCAATCACCGGCGAGGAGGAGGAGCCGAGCAGCAGTGCGAAGATCAAAGAAGATCGAGCAAGGGAGCGGCCGGAGAAGGAAGACAGCTGACAGTAAGTGTCTGTAGCGTGCAGATGGTGCTGCTGCAGCCAGGTATGCTGGCTGTAGATGGGAGAGGGAGGGAGCAAGCCCAGGCTGGAGCAGGAGTCAGCAAGGTAAGTATCATTGGTGTCAGTGGGAGGAATAGTGCCCCATCATTGGTGTCACAACACCAATGATGGGGCACTATTCCTCCCACTGACACCAATGATGGGGCACTATTCCTCCCACTGACACCAATGATGGGGCACTATTCCTACTTTCAACTGGGACCCCCCCCCACTGACACCAACGATGGGGCACTATTCCTCCCCCCACTGACACCAACGATGGGGCACTACCCACCCCACTGACACCAATGATGGGGCACAATTCCCCCCCACACTAGTATCAATGATGGGGCACTATTCCCCCCCCCCACTGACACCAATGATGGGGCACGATTCCTCCCACACTGACACCAATGATGGGGCACTATTCCTCCCACTGACACCAGCAATGTGGCACTATTCCTCCCACTGATACCAACGATGGGACACTATTCCTCCCACTGACATCATTAATGTGGCACTACTCCTCTCACTGACACCAATGATGTGGCACTACTCCTCCCACTGCAAAATTACAGTTATGAAGTAGCAACAAAAATAATTTTATGGTTGGGGGTCACCACAACATGAGGAACTGTAATAAAGAGTCGCGGCATTAGGAAGGTTGAGAACCACTGGTCTAGATCCTCACAGATCCACGGCAAAATGGCGCTTCGGCGCGTGCGCTGTTTTTTATTCTACGGTAGAATGGCGCATTGGCGCGTGCATGCGCAGTCTATTATTCTACGGGAGAATGACGGTGGCGCGATCGCGCATGCGCCAGTTCCCCTATATAAGCCAAAGGTCGGTCACGCTTCTGTCCAGCCTCCCCTCTGATGATGTGCTTTTAGCACAAAAGGCCTTAGGAATTAGGAGCTGAACAGAGCGTGACGTTTTATGCCGCTGGAGCCACGAGGAGGCTCGGCGGCCATCTTTAAAGGGGTCAGTTTTGCAAAAAAATGTTTGTAACTTATATATGATGCATACTGCCCTATGTTTGTTTTATGCTTCAATACATTTTTCCTGAAATACTACACTATTGGGCACCTGTTCTTTGAGCTCCTATGCGAGCTATTACATCTGCAGGAAATCCCTGTGATATCCAGGATCCAGAGAAGGGAGCCCTTTCCAAAGCAGAATACCTGTCCATCCTAAGCGGGACCTCTGGACCAGGCAGATTCTCACTACTCTCCAAGGCTTGATGATCAGAGAGGCAGCCCACCACCTATCATTTATTACTACATGCGCTGTTGTTAACCACTTGCCTACCGGGCACTTATACCCCCTTCCTTACCAGGCCAATTTTCAGCTTTCAGCGCTGCCGCACTTTGATTGACAATTGCGCGGTCATGCAACATTGTACCCATATGAAATTTTGATCATTTTTTTTTCTCACAAATAGAGCTTTCTTTTGGTGGTATTTAATCGCCACTGGGAGCTTTACTTTTTGCGCTATAAATAAAAAAGTGCAAAAAATTTGAAAAAAAAAAAAAAGTTTATTTGTTTCTTTTATAAAATTTTTCAAACAGGTATTTTTTTCTCCATCACTGATGTGCGTTGATGAGGCAGCACTGATGGGCACTGATAGGTGGCACTGATGGGCACTGATAGGCAGCACTAAAGGGCACTGATAGGCAGTACTAATGAGGTGGCACGGATAGGCGGCACTGATAGACAGCACTAATTAGGGGTCACGGATAGGCGGCACTGATATGCAGCACTGATAGGCGGCACTGATAGGTGACACTGATTATGGGTACTGATAGACGGCACTGACTGGCATCACTGCTGGGCACTGACTGGCGGCACTGACTGGCACAACCCCTGGGCACTGACTGGTGGCACTGACTGGCAGCACTGCTGGGCTGCACTGGTGGGTGGCACTGGTGGGCAGCACTGGTGGGTGGGCACAGGTGGGTGGCACTGGTGGGCACAGGTGGGTGGCACTGGTGGGCACAGGTGGGTGGGCACAGGTGGGTGGCACTGCTGGGCACATGTAGGTGGCACTTCTGGGCACAGGTAGGTGGCACTGCAGAGTGGCACAGGTGGGTGCACTGCTGGGCACAGGTGGGGGCACTGCTGGGCACAGGTGGGCGGAGCTAGTGGGCGCACTGCTGGGCGGAACTTGCGGGTGTCACTGCTGGGCACCGATCATCAGGGCACTGATCATCAGTGCCCTGATGATCGGTGCCGATCCCCGCTCTGACAACTGCCGGTTCTTGGCAGTACTTTCCTCACGATCTGACAGCGTGAGGAAAGTGCAGCCGAGAACCGGCACTTGCATTTCCCTGTGATCAGCGTGTCATTGGACACCGCTGATCACGTGGTAAAAGGCCGGTATGATCGGCCTTTTACCACATCTCGTGATCAGCTGTGTCCGTAGGACACAGCGATCACGGAGATCGCCGGGTGTGCGCGCCCCCTGGGGCGCGCAGGAGAGCGCGTTCTAGGGGGACGTCATATGACGTCCACCCAGAACTGGCCGGCCGCAGTGCAGCCGTCATTCGGCTATCTGCGGTCGGCAGGTAGTTAATATGCGCTTCCGGTGAGTGCGCATTTCTGCTATTTTGGCCGGCTGTTTATACCAGCATTTGAAGTACTGAGATACCTGCCTTATAAGGGTCTATTGCTATTCGTTGAACTTTTATATAGCAACTTGATATTTGTCTGACTCAGGCCTCCTTTCAAGAGATAAGGATGGAAGAAGACATTTAGAAATGTCCAAATGGTAACAGGACCTGTATCTGTTTTTTGAGGATAGTTTACTGTTTGAAAATGGTCCCAGGCAATAATAGTTCTGAGACAGTTGGGTGATCTAATAAATATGTTTTGACACAGGGTGCGCTAGTAATAAGGTGAGCAATTTACCCATGGAGATAAATGACTACTCCAGGGCACTCCAATGGTTCAAAGGAGTAGAAATAATCAAGTGTGTTGCTTGGTCTAATAGCACAGCCATGTAGTAATCCTTGTGGGCAAGTAGACCCATGTTCCCTGCGCTTTTAGGTTTAATGAGGATAGTATATGTACATTTGGCTTTCCAACCCTTCCATACAAATATGTATAGAATACAATTTAGATGGACAAAAAATTATATTAGGAATGGGTGTTGGTAAGGCCATAAAATAGTAAAGTATTTTGGGTAACATGATCATCTTGACAGTTGCTAGCCTGCTTGTCCAGGATAGTTATAATATGCTCATTGTATCCATTTCATTTTATCTGTGTTAATAAGGAAGTGTAATTCACTTTACATAAGTTGGCAGATGGACTAGTGAGTGTTTTGCCCAGATAGGGAATCATTTCTCTTGCCCATTGGTGGCATAAGGTGGCATGTTTTGTATCTGTGATGTAATACCGGGATCTATCGCTATACCCAAAATGCTTTACTTAGTTTCATTGATTTTATAATACGATACTTTGTTAAATAGTTTTAATATATGATGAGCATTTTGCAGTGAAGGAGCCAGGATATAGGTGAAATTACAATATCAGCAATAGTGTAAGGGTGTGTGACTTGCCATGAACTAAAATACCACTAATCCCAGGGTGGCATCTGATTTTCTCTGCTAGCAGTTCCATTAGGAATACAAATGTTAGAGGTGACAATGGGAACCCTTGAAGTGTGCCATGTGTAATGTGAAAATAATGTGAGAGCATAACCTCCATGTAAACCTGGGCTGAAGGAGTGGTATGTTTTACCATTATGGCAGAGTATATGTTGCCACCAAAGATGGAATTTTTAAGAACCCTTGATAACCCCAATGTATACTATTGAATAGCTGGATCTAAAGTAAGAAGCAGAGAAGGCCCTTGCCAACTTTTCACAAGATAAAGAAGGGTCAAAATACGTTTGGTAGCATCCGATGTCTGGCCCCCGACAACAAAGCCCACCTGGGCAGGGTTTATTAACTTGGGCAGATATCTTGAAATCCTGTTAGCAAGAATCTATGCATATGTTTTCTGTATTCAACAATGACATCTGGCAGAAGTTCTGAGCTAACAGGAGCTTTTTCCTAGGTTTAGGAAATGTTACAATTGTGGTTTTTAGCATTTCAGGCAGGAATGATTTAGAAGACACAGTAGACTTGTACATCTTCTCCAAATAAGGAGACAAATATGGGGAAAATAGTTTATAGTATTCAGTCAAAAATCCATTAGGACTTGGTGATTTTTTGCGAGGCAGCAATTTAATGATAGCAGAAATTTCTTTGCTTGAGAAAGGTGTATTAAACGTTGCCAACTGTTCATTTTTTTAGTTTTGGTTGAGAAAGTCTAGAAATCAGAAATTATTTCAGGTGTAGGCTGGGAGATCATAGTCATCTTTCAAAATATAGAGTCTACTATTGTAAGTACTGAACATATCAGCAATATCCTGCAGATTGTATATTTTCTGGCTTGTGAGTGAATAGAATAAAGAGGGTGATTTTTGTTTAATTGCCTACTCTGTAAGTTGTTGTGCTAGATGTTTTCCAGTTTTATTATCGTTTTGATAAAAACTCAAACTTAGAACTGTAAGATGCTGATCGTTTTGGGAAATTAATAAAGCAGGCATCTCATGCCTGGAACGTTGTAACTGCAAGCTTAATAGTCTGAGAGGGAGTTTGTTTGAAAGTTCTAGCAATTTTATTTGAGATAGAAGCCTGTCCAACTTATGTGTCCTCTGCTTTTTATAATATTGCTCATTTTTATGAGAATTCCATGTATGCACGCTTTGTGAAAATTCCACATAATAACAGATCCTGAACAGAGGGCTCATTTAGTTCAAATTATTCTCTTTTAGATTTGGTTAAGAAGGCTATATTCTGCAGCTGAGACATTAATTAAACATCATTACACCACATATTCATCCTATGTGTGCTGTGTACCCCACCAATGGCAATCTACACAGGTGTATGAACGGACCATGTAATATAATGGATTTCAGATTTAAGCACATTCTGAAGTAGCATGCTCTCTGTCAATATTAAATCAATTCTGGAGTATTAGATAAGAAAAAAGTAAAGTCCTGTTCTTTGGAGTGTTGGCACCTCCAGACATCGTATAAATCAGAGGAGGTAAGGGGATGTCCCATTGTAGTTCCATAAAGACCTTTGGGGTTGGGATTAGACACATCTAGTAAGTTATCTGGTAAATTTATCTGGTATTGCATTGAAGTTTCTGTAAAGGAGCAGTTGGCCTTGACATATTTTACTCTTTGGCATATTAACTTTTTTCCACACTTTTTTCTCGAAGGCAGGTTGTCTTACATTAAGAAGATAAACATTGATCACCATGTATACCACATTATTGATCTCACAGACCAAAATGATGAATCTGCCAGATTCATCAATTACCAAAGTGATATGTTTGAACACCAACGAGTCTTTGATTGCAATCAGGACTGTCATCTTTTTTTTTAGGAAAAGTTGGATTTATACTGTAGTTAGAAGTCTGAGTTGATAAAGTGAGTCTCCTGTAAGCAAAGCACATCACAACAGAGCTTATGTGCTGCCCTCCAGATTATGTATCTCTTGGTCGGGCAATTGAGCACGTTTATGTTTATGGTGGAGACTTTCAAATTCATACTATATAATGGGATAGTTACGGTACAACATTAGTCCTCTGGCAAAAGAGGAGAGTATTTGTTTGGAAGTGAGAGAGTTCCTGCTTACTTCCTAAGGATTTTTCATTGTCGAGCTCTGTCTTATGTCTGGGCAATACTAGACCTCGAATCTCTAAGGCAATTCTTTTTTCCCCTAAAACTAAAGGCGCCCTGGGCCTCCCACACTTCACAAAAGTATTACCAGGCGGCTCACCTTGCTCACTTCCCTAAATATCACACAGCCCAAAAAACTCTGCTCTGGGTCGCCATAGAGTCTATGGATTGTGACCCACTTTCAGTTGCAAATTTTCTGTGGCTCCACCTCAAAGATCGTCTTGCCCTTCAAAACCCTGTCACCATATACTGTATATCTCTCTGGGACTCTCTCAAGTTGTGCCTCTCTTGTCCTTCCCTCATAACCCTGTCTTCTACCCAGCCTGGACATCCCCTTCTGCATTCTACAATTGGTCATCTAGAAATCTTATTCGGGACCATAAGCTTACAACCCCAGATACTTTTAAACCATTCCCATCCTTATAAGAGACCTACGGTCTTCCAGATTCCAAACTATTTCGATACCTGTAGATCAAGCACTTTCTCACTCCCTACCTATGAGCTGACTCCTCCTTACCGGAAATGTTCAGATTTGAAAGGATCTGTAAGAGCGACCCACATGCCTGAGGCCTAATGTCTACACTTTATTCTCAATTATTAGCTCCTCCATCACTATCAACTAGGCCTGTCAGTTTAACTTCTATAGTTGGGAAGATACAGGAGAGTTAAATAAAAGACCACATAGATGAGTTCTTGCTGCAAAAAATATTTTAAGCAACAAACAGCATAGATTCATGAAAGACAGAAGTTGTCAAACAAATCTGATTGTTTTTATGAGGAGGTGAGCAAAATCTTGGATAGAGGGGTGTTTGTAGACGTGGTATACTTGGATTTTGCAAAAGCATTTGACACAGTTCCCGACACACAGCTAATGTGTAAGCTAAAGTCTTATGTAAATGGATAGAAAACTGGTTAAAAAATCGTATTCAGAGAGAAGTGGTTAATGATTTATACTCTGAATGGTCTAGGGTTGTTAGTGGTGTACCCCAAGGTTCAGTGTTGGCACCCTTACCTTTTAATATATTTATAAATGATATAGGGTCTGGTATTGAAAATGCCATTTCAGTCTTTGCAGATGACACCAAGCTGTGCAGTGGAATAATGTCCTTACAGGATGTATCCAACTTACACAACCTCAATGCACTGTTTAATTTGGCAAAATGCATGCATCATACATACTAGGGGGAGTACAACTGGGGGATCAATGGTGGAGAAGGATCTGGGAGTTCTGGTAGATCACAAGCTTAATAAATGGCATTCAATGCCAAGGTGCGGTTTATAAAGCGAGCAAAATCCTCTCTTGTATTAGGAGAGGTATAGACTCCAGAGAGAGAGAGATATCATTTTACTGCTGTACAAATCATTAGTAATGCCTCATCTGGAATATGGAGTTTAGATTTTGGCACCAATTCACAAAAAAGCATTGGGGAACAGGAGAAAGTACAGAGAAGAGCAACCAAACTGATAAGAGGCATGGAGGAGCTCAGCTATGAGGAAAGATTAGAAGAAATTAATTTATTCTCTCTTGAGAAAAGGAGAGTAGGGGGCAAAGAGAGAACAATCCCCTGCGCTTGAATGGAAAAT